CTATTTAATAAATGGTGCTGGGAAAACTGACTAGCCATATGCAGAAAACTGAAACTGGACTCCCTCCTTATACCTTATAGAAAAATTAACTCAAGATGGATTAAAGACTTAAATGTAAGACCTAAAACCATAAAAATCCTGGAAGAAAACCTATGCAATACCATTCAGGACATAGGCACAGGCAAGGACTTCATGTCTAAAACACCAAAAGCAATGGTAACAAAAGTCAAAATAGACCAATGGGATCTAATTAAACTAAAGAGCTTCTAAACAGCAAAATAAACTATCATCAGAGTGAACAGGCATCTACAGAATAGGAGAACATTTTTGCAATCTATCCATCTGACAAAGGGCAAATATCCAGAATCTACAAAGAACTGAAACAAATTTACAAGAAAAAAACAACCCCATCAAAAAGTAGGTGAAGGATATGAACAGACAATCCTCAAAAGAAGACATTTATGTGGCCAATAAACATATAAAAAATGCTTATCATCACTGGTCATTAGAGAAATGCAAATCAAAACCACAATGAGATACCATCTCATGCCAGTTAGAATGGCGACCATTAAAAAGTCGGAAACAACAGATGCTGAAGAGGATGTGGAGAAATAGGAACACTTTTACACTGTTGGTGGGAGTGTAAATTAGTTCAACCATTGTGGAAGACAGTGTGGCAATTTCTCAAGGATCTAGAACTAGAAATAACATTTGACCCAGCAATCCCATTACTGGGTATATACACAAAGGATTATAAATCATGCTACTATAAAGACACATGCACATGTATGTTTATTGCGGCGCTATTCACAATAGCAAAGACTTGGAACCAACTCAAATGTCCGCCAATGATAGACTGGATAAAGAAAATGTGGCACTTACACACCATGGGATACTATGCAGCCGTAAAAAAGGATGAGTTCATGTCCTTTGCAGGGACATGGATGAAGCTGGAAACCATCATTCTCAGTAAACAACAAAATAACAGAAAACCAAACATCTCATGTTCTTACTCATAAGTGGGAGCTGAACAATGAGAACATATGGACGCAAGGAGGGGAAAATCACACACTGGGGCCTGTTTTGGGGTGGACGGCTGGGGGACGGATAGTAGGTGATGTGCTGATGGGTGCAGCAAACCACTATAGCATGTGCATAACTATGTAACAAAGCTGCACATTCTGCACATGTACCCCAGAACTTAAAGTACAATTAAAAAAAAATCTAATGTAAAAACAAAAATTGTAGTGCTAGCTGATTTAGCATAAAAATGTGGCAGAGTATTTAGCTGATGTTCAATTAATTTGTGTTTTCCCTAAATTAGCAGTTTTGTGTGTTAGTCTCTTCATTAGAATTCTCACAGGTTTTTTTTTTTTTTTTTTTTTGAGATGGAGTCTCACTCTGTCGCCTGGGCTGGAGTGCAGAGGCGCCATCTCGGCTCACTGCAACCTCCACCTCCTGGGTTCAAGCAATTCTCCTGCCTCAGCCATCTGAGTAGCTGGGATTACAGGAGCCCACCACTAGGCCCAGCTAATTTTTTGTATTTTCAGTAGAGACGGGGTTTCACCATGTTGACCAGGCTGGTCTAGAACTCCTGGCCTCGTGATTTGCCTGCCTCGGCCTCCCAAGGTGCTGGGACTACAGGTGTGAGCCACCGTGCCCGGCTGAATTCTCACAATCTTTACCTAATTCAAACAATATAATTCTAACGTTATCAGAAATCTGTACTCAACTCAACTGGGCCTTTTCCATCTTTTCATGAACCTCCTTGAAAACACAGTATTCTAGGATTTTTCATGCTTTTAAAGTTTTTAGAAACTACATCAGAATTAAGCCATTAGCTGTGGAAATGACTTTACATGTTTGCAAAGAAACAAATTAAAAGAAATTAATTATATCTGTTGCCTACAATAATTTATCATAATAACCATAATTATGAATGAGTATATACTCAGATATATTAGATTTTTAGAAATTTCATACAATTTTGACATAAATACTAATAACATATTTATTAAAATATAAGTTAAGGAGGTCAAATATATATATACACACACATATATACACACACACACACATATATATATACACACACACTTTTTTTTTTTAAAGACGGAATCTCCCTCTGTTACCCAGACTGGAGAGTAATGTCACAATCTCGGCTCACTGGAACGTCTGCCTCCCGGGATCAAGCGATTCTTCTGCCTCAGCCTCCTGAGTTGCTGGGATTACAGGCACCAACCACCACGTCTGGCTTAATTTTTGTATTTTTAGTAGAGACAGGGTTTTGCCCTGTCAGCAAGGCTGGTCTTGAATTCCTGACCTCAGGTGATTCATCCGCCTCTGCCTCCCAAAATGCTGGGATTGCAGGCATAAGCTACCAAGCCTGGCAAACATTATTTTTATTTTGATAATGCTTCCAGGTAAGTTAACTTTTTTTTTTTTCAGTCGAAGTTTTGCTCCTGAGTAGCTCAGATTACAGGCACTCGCCACCATGCCCAGCTAATTTTTGTATTTTTAGTAGAGACAGGGTTTCATCATGTTGTCCAGGATGGTCTCCATCTCTTGACCTTGTGATCTGCCCACCTCGGCCTCCCAAAGTGCTGGGATTACAGGCATGAGCCACCTCACCTTGCCTGTTTATCACTCTTTGGCATGCTGCATTGACACTCTATAGCATCCAAAAGTTCGGGATCTTAAAAAAAGACACTTTTTAAGCAAAATTTCATGTTGGGAAGCCTGTCAAATATGTTATAGGGTTAAAACACTTCACTAAAATATAGGATCACAGATCACTATAAAATAATAGCCATTTATTTATCCAAAGTGATAATTAAAAGATTTAAAAAAGAAAATCATTTACTGTTTGATACAGGAAATTCACTTTTCCAGTCAAAAAATCTGAGAACGATAGCATGAGAAAAATTCTATCTCTTTTCTACTTTCTTTATTTTAAACTTTATTCAAAAGGTGAACAAAAATATTTTACTATGTCATATTGATATGTAAAATTTTTGTTCAAAAGAAAATCAACTTTTACTTTTGTATTAGTGTATTATTAATACTAAAGCTAATTTTAATAAAATCTTATAAATAAATCCATCAAATGTGTCATTTTTGGCTACTGTAGATTGTCATAAATGTTTTATAGTCTGTTATAATAAATTTTTCAACTTTTTATATTATATTTTTGGTTTTTTCTTTTAATTTGAAACAATCATTAAGTAATTTCAAACTAGATAAAATGTTTCTAACTTTCTTCATTAAAAGCATATTTTGCCTTTGTTTATATATTATGCAGAATTGTTTTTCATACATCTAGTAGTTTTAATTATATCCATATTAATTAGGTTAACTCTTAACAACCTTGGGTTATTTTATTCCTGCTGCCCTCTGCTCTTTTTATGGCCACGGTCTGTTCCACCTCAGAACTGAAGAGAGATATTGGTCGGGAGAGGCTCTTCCCTCACCTCTGGCAGAAAAGGAATGTTCAGGCCCTTCAACCCCCTGTTGTCGAAGCTGCACTTTAATGTGACAGCTATTGGCCATGTATGGCTACCGGGCGTCCAGAATGTGGCTGGTCTGAACTGCGATGTGCTAGAAAGGTAAAATACAGGGTTAGAGTAAAGATTTAGTTCCAAAAATATATACACTTCATTAATAATTACACATTGCTCAGATATTAATATAATATTTTTGATATAGTGGGTTAATTAAATGGTTAGAATGAATTCCACCTGTTTCTTCTTCCTTCTTAAAGTTTGACGGCTAGAAAATTCAGAATACACATGTGGCTCACGTTTTATTTCAGAGGATTGCCTCCTTTTTAAACTCTCAATTGGCCTGCTCAAAGGACCAGAATTCAGAAAGGACATAAAATCTGGAATTTTAAAATAATTGTTACATTATTTTCATGTGTGAATAGCCACATAATACATTATTCATAAATGCATATGACTTTATACGCAGATTAAATGCAAATGCCTTCTGGGGTGGACCTGGCTCAACTCAGGGAGGAAGCCCTGCCTGAAAAGGCTGCAGCTTAGGTTTCACTTTATCTTCTTCCAGCCCAGCATCTGAGCGTATCTTCTGTCACTCCTGAGGGAGCGGAGCAGCAAACGTTATCCAATCAGCATCGCTGGGCTGGGAACCGTCCAATCAGGCACGCAACTGGAGTGGACAGGACGGCTTCCGGGATTTGGCGGGGCCTTTGTCTCTGGCTGCAGCCGGAGGTCCTGGTCTTCTCTTCACTGCTCAGTGTCCTCTGCTCCTAGAGGCCCAGCCTCAGTGTCCCTGTGACCTGCAGATATTGGGAGATCCACAGCTAACACGCCGGGACCCCCTGGAAACCCAGAGATGGTGAGAGTGCTGGATCCGACATCCCGAGAGAGGGGGAGGGGCTGGTTGGAACCGGTCGGAAGTGGCTGTGGCTGGACTCGGGCCTCCAAAATCCGCGGCCCCGAGTTTTTGGCGCAGCTTGGCCCTCAGTCTCCCGCGGCCCGGAGTTCTCTTTGGCGCAGCTCGGTCTTTAGTCCCCTTCAGCCGTAAGATGGCGGCTGGGCTGACAGCCGGGGCCCTGGGCGTTCTGCTTTCTCCCTGCGCAGTGACTGTGCCCTGGCCTGGAGCCCTCTCTGGGCAGCTCAGCACCCGCAGCGCCGCATCTCTACCTGATTGTGCAGGGATGCCGGGAGGGTCATCAGGAGAGAATCCTGACTCGGGATGCGGGGTTCATGAATGTTTAAAAGCTTTAGTCTGTGGGGTTCCTAGTCCATCTTTTTTCTCTTAAAAATCTGTGGAAGTCACCGCAAAAATATTGAAGAATTTAATCAAAGAGTAATTCAAGAATTGTAGAACACCCAGCTGTGGTTTGTAGTTTGTTTTCCATGGGAGGGACTTAAGAAAATACTACTATAAGGTGCATGATAAAGGAAAGCAAATTCAATAATTGGTTAGGGAGAGTTATGTAGTTTCTTAGTTTTAGATCAAGGTGGAAATTTTCTGGTCACGTAATCAGAGCTTAATTGGCAGTTTATGGTTGATTAAGCCTAAATTTTGTTTTCCCCAATGTAGTAATTTACAAAAAAATGCATTTGAGTTAGACTTTTTTAAAAGTAAAAACCCTGGGACTAGAGCCACCTCAGTCTAATTGTCTGCCATTTAATTATTTTCACACTTCACAGGGGACAGATTTTCCCCTGCAACTTTCACATGTGTCTCAAGCAGGGTCTCAAGACTACTCCCTATTCCCCATTCTTTTAGTCTAACTGACTTGCAGTGAAATGCTAAATTTCCAGTTTCTTCTGACATTCCCAAATGCCAGCTTCCACTCCCTAATTCACATTATCAACTATTTGTCCTTTAGTGTACATTTTAGATACTGTATTTTAATTAATCATTGTTGACAAATTATTGGGTGACACTTTAAAAAAATTGTTTGCTGTTTGAAAATATTTCCAATGAGAAGAAAACAAAAAATAATCCCCTGACACTGTATTGTAAAAAAAAGTCTGTGCCTATTTTCCTTTTGTCTTCCCCAGGCACAGAGATCTTATCAGAATGTTTTTGGGTCAGGGGTTCCCTTTGGAAACTTTATGGGGTGATGTGTCCTCAGCCACCTTTCAGTTTTCTCCTGGTCCTGGATTTCAGTACTGTGGATAAATCAAGATATCTACTGTGGCTGTGTATGCTAGAATCTCTGGTAAATTTCAGCTCCTGGCCTGGAATGGAACTCTGGGTATCTGGGAATGGGAGACATAGGACAATCTGAGGTTGGAGTGTAGCCTCTCAAGGGAGCAGGTGGATGCCCCGGGGCTGAGAGGAATCTCCTTCCTTTGGAAAGCTAACTCTTTGAGGCATTAAGATTGTGTTGGCTCAACTCAGCTTCCATTTCTGAGGCTTTTTGCTGGTCAGCCAATCAGATGCTGGTATTGAGAGGAAAACACAGAAATAATTTCTGCCCCCTGGATTCTCTAAGATTTGTGAAAGAAAAAATGGTATCCCAGAAGACAAAAAAAAAAAAAATTCAAACTTGACTCCAGTGAGATGGTACAAGAACTTGCAAAGTGAAATGCATGGTGGTCACTGAGCACTTAAGTGAGCAGGATGGGGTGGGAGAATCTCTCTAGTGATTGGGTGGCCTGACTTGACACATGAGTCAGACACATCTATTTTTTAATCAGCACCGCCACTCCCTGGGTTTGTCACCTTGAAAAGATTTGTTCACTTATTTTGATTTCAGTTTATAACTGTAACTTGCATTTTATTAGTAGGATTTAAAAGGTAAGAAAATATTTACAAAGAGCATAAAAGAGGTGAGTTTCAGAAAAAAATAATATCTAATCATATATTCCATTTATTAAGAATTCTAATTTACCTTTTTCTTTCCCAGACTTAGTTTAGGAATTTTCTCAGGTATGTTTTTTATGCCTGTGTGATGTCCAACAGTATTCCAAGGCTTAGTTTTTAGAGTGCTACCAGGGAAACAAAAAGGAAAAAACCTCTCTTCCGTTTTGGCTGTAGAAAATGAATACATTTTTACAAGAAAATGTGGTAGATAATTGATGAATTACATAGATTTATGAAAACAGCAGTTCCTCTTTTTGCAGGGTATGTTTGTTACAGTGAATACCTCTGTGCTATATCCTGTCATCTTGGTTTGTAAGGATAATGCTACATTTTTATTTTATTTTATTTTTGAGACAGAGTCTTGCTCTGTCGCCCGGGCTGAAGGGCAGTGGTGCGATCTCGGCTCACTGCAACTTCTGCCTTCCCGGCTCAAGCAATTCTCCTACCTCAGCCTCCCAAGTAGCTGGGATTACCGGCATGTGCCACCATGCCCGGGTAATTTTTGTAGTTTTATTAGACACAGGGTTTCACCATATTGAGCAGGCTGGCCTTGAACTCCTGACGTCAAGTGATCTGCCCGTGTTGGTCTCCCAAAGTGTTGGGATTACAGGCATGAGCCACTGCACCCAGCCGGTTAATGCTAAATTTTATAAGATGAAAGTTGGTACCTCCTAGAAGTGTTCCCATATGACCAATTGATTACTACATAATTTTTAATGAAAATCATAAAACAATACATTTATCATTTGAAAGGAATAAATACTTTTGTATTTCTTATTGAGATATGAAATGTAAGCACCTTAAAATTTCCTTCCCTTGCCCGGGCGCGGTGGCTCACGCCTGTAATCCCAGCACTTTGGGAGGCCGAGACGGGGGTCAGGAGATTGAGACCATCCTGGCTAACATGGCGAAACCCCATCTCTACTGAAAATACAAAAAAAAATTAGCCGGGCGTGGTGGCGGGCGCCTATGGTCCCAGCTACACGGGAGGCTGAGGCAGGAGAATGGCCTGAACCCGGGTGGCAGAGCTTGCGGTGAGCTGAGATCTGGCCACTGCACTCCAGCCTGGGCGACACAGCGAGACTCCGTCTCAAAAAAAAAAAAAAAAATTTCCTTCCCTTGGCTGGGTGCAGTGGCTCATGCCTGTAATCCCAGCACTTTGAGAAACTGAGGTGGGCAGATCACCTGAGGTCAGGAGTTCAAGACCAGACTGGCCAACATGGTGAAGCCCCGTCTCTACTGAAAAATTAGTCAGTCATGGGTGAAGGGCACCTGTAGTCTTAGCTACTCGTTAGCCTGAGGCAGAAGAATCGTTTGAACCTGGGAGGCAGAGGTTGCAGTGAGCCAAGAGTGTACCACTGCACTCCAGGCTGGGCAACAGAGCAAGACTCTGTCTCAAAATAATAATAATAAAAAATTCCTTCCCATGTATAAATACTGTGCATAATTTTGCTGAATTTTTAAAGCTGTTTCAAAACCCAAGTGAATAACCTTGACATGGAAATTAAAGCTTGTGCCCAGTGATTCCAAGCTAAGGCTAATATTGAGCCTGCAAAGGGAAGGGAGGTTATTAAAACCAGTTAGTTCTTTCTTGGAAGCCTCCCCTGCTCACCCCAGCCATGGAAGAAGCCTTTATTCTGAGAGAAGCTACAGAGCCCTGGACATCGGGGGACCCACAGGCAGATGCAGTTAACATTAAGATGGAAGAGGAATGGGAGAGTCTTACTAAAGATGAAGTTGTTATCGTTTTGAGGCAGTATTTTACTTTTTTTTTTACTTTGTAAAAACAGAATGAGGTTTCTCTAAAAAAAATTTGAATTTTAAAGGAGTATTGCAACAGAAGGAAGTACCAACTATAAGATCTTTAAGAATTGCAAAGTTTATGCAGACGAAGACTTTTTTTCTTAGGGAGGAGCAAAGAAGTTTAGAAAGAAGATCACAGGGGAATGGCAAATGAAAGGTGAAAAAATCATATACTAGATTAGAAAATGTTTTATCCTGAAGTCATCAAGTTTTTAGGAGGGACAAAAAATGGGGTTGTATGTTGGCTCAGACTGAGGGTAGCTCAAAGTTCAGGAGCCTGTGGAAAGGAGATAAACTTAAGTGAAGTTTGATTAAGAAGAATTTTATTTTGACCACTGAAGAAAAATTCAGCTAATTTTTTAATATGAAAAAGAACAAAATATGCAGAGTGAGTGTTTGGTTATTAAATAGTTAAGAAAAAGAGCACCATCGAAGTCATAATGGGAAGGGTGTTTCCATGAACTGTTCCTGGAGAACACAAAGGATGGGGAATTTTATTAATCACAGCTATTTACCAGGATTATTTATGTGCTTCATCTTTCTCCACCTCTTTTCTTTGTCCTGTACATTTTTTCCATTTAAATTTTCCTGAGTTGTATCTTGTATAATAAACTGGTCAACATAACTACAGTGTTTGCTGAGTTCTGTGAGTAGCTCTATCAAATTATTGAACTGGAGGGAGTTTATGGGTGTTCTAAATTTTCAAACAGTAGTTTTAGAAGCACAGATTGGCCCATATGGTGTTTGGCATCTGCAGTGAGGACAGTGTTGTGGGACTGAGCCCTGAATCAGGGTCTGCTGACTCTGGGGTCGGAATTCAAATGTTAAACAATGTGTTAGTTTTGGAGAATTGCTTGATATTAAGCAAACTTTACAGATTTGGTACCAGAAGAAAGATATCAAACAGGCCTGGCCTGGAGTGGAACTCTGGGTGTCTGGGAATGGGATGCTCTACTTTCCTGTACACAGACTGTCACACTGCCCATTGTCCTGTGATTCCAGGTCTCCTGCCATGGTGAGAGAGGACTGAAAACTTAGAGGAAAGGCGCTCTGATTATAGACCCACTTTTCTTGCAGCTACCATCCCAGAATTTCCACCCACTCACAAACATACCCACTAGACATTGATGTGTCCACCCCCCTCTCAGGACTAGGCACCACCCTCAGGTATTTCACTACAGCATTTTTTTATTCTAGTGTTTTTTGCCAAA